GGGATGGCGGGACTGGAGGGAGCACTGCCCTGGAGGGGAGGCCTCTGCTGCTGCCCAGCTCCTGGTCCTGGCTCCAGCACCTGCTGCTGCTCTTGGTTGTGCCACATACAGTGAGACAAACCCTGTATCCAGGCCTTCTGGAAAATATTTTCCCTGTTTTAACCCTGAAACCAATTGCAAGTTGTCCTTCTGGGCCCGAAAGTTGTCCCAACAGCACAGATGTGTAGAAGACCTAAGACTTTGTATAAAGAATACATTGAATATCTTTTCTGCTAATACCTTAGGTCCTAAACCTTGAAAGGAATCTTTTAACAAGTCTTCCACAATCTATAGGAGACCTTGCCCAGCTCCAGATGCTCAATGTGAAAGGTATGGCACACGTTTCTTGTGGGTGTCTGGGCAAAGCCTTGTTTATTATCTGGGTTATGTTGAGCTGATTCCTTTCCACCATGGCAAGGACCACATGATTTACACCATGGATGCTAAGGAAGAACACAGGAAAGATTTGAATTCAAGTAGCTGGCAAGGCAGGAGAAACCATCTAAGCAGAGAATGGGTCAAACTTTGTATGATGATTTCATTTAGCCCATTGCCTCTTCCCAAAGGAGGGGTTATTCATTCAGTCATTGTGCCTGATCTCAACAGCTGAGAGCTGTGTGTGCCTGCTGGGGCCATTCCAGAGCTCCAGCTACCCTATTCCTGTCGCCAGGAGTGCTGGAAGGGCTGGAGGCACATGTGTCTTCCTCCAGGAGCACAAGACCTGCCTCAAGCTGGGAGTGTGTGTGTGCCCTGCAAGAGGAGTCCAGGCCAGGGCTTGTCCCCCTCTGGATAAGGATTTAGATCAACCTCAGAAATTTGTCTGCAGATTCAAATGTAAGAAAATTAGCAGGTCTTTGTTGGAAGCAGGTCAGTAAATCAAGCAGAGCTGTCAGCCTGGATAAACCAGACACACTGAGCTGGGTCCTGTGAGCCCGTGTAGCCCCACCAGGTTTGCACAGCCCTAACACACAGGTCACTCCATACCCCTTTTCAAGATTCCTGGGCATTTTCCAGATATGCAGTGCCTTTTGGGAGAAAAAGGAGACTTTGTTACTGGGAACTATTGCTGGAATGGGAGGAAGTGAGAGTGAAGAACTTGGAAGTGCAGCTCAGTTTGTTGTTCAGCTCTGTTCATGTCAGCAGAGCTGGCCTCTGAGCCCCAGATGTGTAGTCCCACACTCAGTCCCCTTTCTCTCATCTCTAGTACTTGCACCCAAGGGATGACAACCCCACGTGATGAACATCCTCCTGCTAAAGAGCACAGATCCAGCCTGCAGCACTGACCTCCCCTGAGAAGGTTGGTTTGGTCATGAGGAACCACCGTGGGGCCTGTGGCGCAGTATAGAAAATGGATCATACCTATGCTCAGGGTTTGGTGTTCCTGCAGATGGACTTGTTTGGTTCTGCTTTGAAAAGGTTACGTGACCCTGGATGGCTTTTCTGTCCTTGCAGGTAACAAGCTGAGGGAGCTGCCAGCTGCCCTGAGGGGGCTGCAGAGCCTGGACGCCCATGAGAAGCCGCTGCGGGCGCTGCCGTGCGCTGCCCCACGTCCGCACACTGGAGGAGCACAGCCCTGCCTGCCCCTCACTGCCTGGCTCCCTCCTGCTGGCCCCGTACAACAAGAAATCTAGCCTAGGAAGTGAATTTTTAGGGCTTGGGCAGGAGCCACTGCAGGGGGTTGGAAGAAGGCCGTGTGTTCATGGTGCTGATGGGGCTCCTGGTGTCCAAACCAGCTTCTCCGTACCCCTCCTGCTTTGGTCTTTTCTGATCACTTCTGCTGTGGTTTAATCATGACAAAAGCAACCCACAGACTCTAGGTATGGCCTGCCAGGGCTGCCTCTGAGAGCCTGAGCTGTGCCTATGGGCTGAGGCTCACTCAGCCATTTTACACCAAGGCTGATGCCAAATGAGCAGATGGGTTATTTCTAATGAGGCATTTGCCATGAGAGGATCTTTGACTCCTTGTCAGCCCCGTTGCGTTTCTGGCTCCCTAGAGTGCATGTTCAAAATGGGACAAGCATCACGATTTTTACAGCTGTGTCACCTTCTGGCTGCCAAACTTGTCAGGACTAAATGGTGTGAATGTCAGACACCGGGGCTGACTCAGACATCAGCATGGAGGATGCCAAGAAATGCTCTCCTGCCTTGAACACACATTAGGCTTCACTTCTCATGTGGGCAGTCTCTGAGATGAGGGATCTGTGCAGCTTGTTCCCCTGGGCTTGCTAAAGTGGTTCCTTTCTAGGCCTTCCTGAAAAGCCTTTCTCTACAGGAGGAAAAAATCAGGTCCTTTTGGTGGCCACAGTAGGACAAACCAGCTAGTGGTCCTTCCACTCATTCTTTCTGGTACCTTTTTGTGTCCCCATCTCTTCCATCCATCCTGCTTAAGGGCTGCAGCACGCTGAAATGTAGTAGAAAATGTCTGCAGTTGAGAAGTGTCCCCTCTTGTACTTAAACACAAAGTAGATATGTCTGCATGAGGGGGAGCTCCCAAATAAGGCACAGCAGAGTCACCTCTGAATGTTGTCAAACACCCAGCAGAAATGCAATATAGCCTCAAATTTATGTCAGGGTTTAGAGTAACATAAAGGTATCACTGCATAAGTGGAATTTTGGGGAGCTGCAAGGATAACTGCAGTGGGACCCTGGCTGGGCCATCAGAATAACCTGGAGCTCTGTGTGTTCTCTTTTGGAGACACTGGCCCTGGATGCCTCTTCTATGACCTACCCATCACCTGATGTTTGCAGTGCAGGTACAGAGGCCATTCAGCAGTTCCTCTGCAAAGGTAAGTGAGCAGAGTCTGTGGATGGTTGTGAGAACTTGGGGGTCTGCACTGTGCTCTGACTGGGTGCTGTGGGGTGTCCAAAGATTGCATTCACCAAGGACAAACATGGGGCTTGCTCTGCTTGGGGTGGTTCCTGGTGCTCTGCACCCATGGCAGGCTGGGCAGTGAGGGATGTGGCAACCAGCAAAGCAGGAGCCCTGCTTTGAGACTTGCTTCTTAGTGCCACACTGAAATTTGTAATGGCTTGGTTAAAACATCAGAGTAGCTGGGTCAGAGACTGAGGAACCTTGAGAAGTCACTGCATCTCCCTGGGGTTTTGTTTTCTCGTTTGCATTTTCTCCAGTGGGAGGATTGAGCATTGCCCAGATAACATTGTCCAGAAACCTGCCTTGGGACAACAAGATGGGCTCAGTAGTCACTCGAGGTCCCTTCTACCCTCATTTCCTATGAGGAAGGACCTGGGGCCTGCAGACTGGTGGGCTGTTAAGAGAAAGATGAAAACAGATGGAAGTCAGAGGACAAAGATAACATGCTGTGAGTTTGTAAACAGACAGGGAGGGTTGGTAGAGGTTTTATACAGGGGAAGAGCTTTGCCAGATTTTGGGCTAATTGCTGAAATAAAAGGGCAGTCAGAACTTCTTTTGGTGTGGGCAGTAACATTTGCAGCCCTTCAGAAGCCAGCAGGTCTGTACTAGTGTGAAGGAAATGTTTCTCTCCTAGCACACTGGCTTTGATTGCCTTCCTGGTGGGAATGGACCAACCCTGTCCCCTCTCAGAGCTTGGAGTTGTCAGCTTGAGCTGAAGGAGCTTTTGGGCCCTCATCTGGGTGTGGGGAGAGGGAGCATGGTTGGAAGCAGTCTCACACACCAGCCAAGGAAATCTCTAAGCACCAAATGTTTTGTGTCTGGTACCTTTCAGAGTGTGGAATTGTCTACTATCCCCCCTCACAGAGTCCACTCCACACGCTGGAGAGTGATGGAGGAGGAACAGCAGTGGATGGGGTGGACAGGGCAGTGCAGAAGTACTTGGAGGAGGAGAGTGAGTGGCAGGTGAAGCTCCACTGTGTGTCTGCTTGTGTGAGAGGGTTTGGGACTTGTCTCTCATCAGTGGATCTCACAGCACTTGGCACATCATCCCTCAACACCTTCCCCCCATGAGATGTGTGTTTTGGGATCAAGAGAACATCAGTGCCCAGAACCAGGCATAACACTGTGGGTGTGGGTGGCTCACTCCCTTCCTGGGGGCTGGGAATGGTGATACCACTGCTGATGCCTGGAAGACACCAAGAACTGTCTCCATCCTAGAAAGCAATTATATTGTCAAGGAACAAGAGGGACAATGTGACATGGTGTGTGGGGTGTGGTAACACATGTAGCTGGGGAGACAGCAAACTGCAGAAGAACCTGGTGATTCCAGCCAAGTTCAGCCTTGCCAGGGGGAGGTAAGACTGGGCCTGGCACTGGGATAAGGCTGGGCCTGGCACTGGGATAAGCTGTGCTCATTCCTGTGCTTTTTGTAAAGAACAGAGGAAATTTCTCTGTCCCAGGAGAAGCATGAGTGACTGGACTTTGTGCCTTTGGTTGATGTCTTTACTCAGGGGAATACAGAATGTGGGCTAATAATATCTACCAAAAATTGCTCCTGGGAGTAAATGTGTATGGGCATTGCTTGTTTTTCAGAAAAAATTATTGGATTATGAGAAGAGGAAGGTAAGGATGAATGCCTGGAAATGCTCTGTCTGCAGCTTAGGTTCTGATTCTTGTTTTCCATCCTTTTATTTGGTTACTCAGCCAAAGCTGAATGATTTCAGAGCTGAGTTCTTGCAGAACCCCCCCGAAGCTGCTCACTTTTCACAGCAGGAGACAAGGGGGAGTTGGGGCAGCCTGTGACTGACTCGTCAGACACACAGAGGAGGAGCTGCCCTCTCTCGTGAGCCAGCAGTTCCAGTGTAAACCAGTCCGTGTTTGCAGAGCGGGATCCAGGGCTTCCACACCAGGTGGCGTTTTCCTTGCCTCTCTGTGCTGAAAGCTGTTTGTTTGTCACACGAGGTCGGCAGAGGTACATGAGTAATCCATGCACAGACTGCTCAGAATGTCCCTGCCCAAACTCCAGCCCCTCTGTGACTCCTACCTTGGCTCTTTGGCTCATGGAGCCACTGGTCCCCCTCCTTCCTGGCATTCCTTGTTTCTGTCCTCCATTCCCTCCCTTGGCTGCATGTTTAGTTTGCTCTTCTTTTTATTTCACTGGTGTTTGTCTCTTCCCCTCTGCAAGGCTCACTTTTGAAATAGTCAGAAGCTTCTGTCATGAAGGTCACTTCTCCCTTTGGGTAGAGCTGCTCTTGGCTGGAACAGGTTGCCCAGGGAAGCTGTGGCTGCCCCATCCCTGGCAGTGTTGAAAGGCAGGTTGGATGGGGCTTGGAGCAGCCTGGGCAGGTGGGAGGTGTCCCTGCCCATGCAGGGGGGTTGGAATTGGATGATCTTTAAGATCCCTTCCAACCCAAACCAGTCTATGGCTCTATGATTAGCTGGCTGCTTCCTTCACTCTGTTGTCTTCAGAGAAGGGAGTCCCTTTGCCATCAGGAACGGAAAACAACCTTAATTTTGGGGTTCTCTCTGGGGTTGTTCATTGGCTGTTTCAGTTATGTGGGTTGATGCCTAGGGACTTTGGCTTTGTGTCTATGAAATGAGTTGTGAAGAGTTTGGAGACTGTCATAAAGAGAGCAGCAGCTTCTGCTTCACAGTTTTGGGCTCCTAAGAAGAGAACATTTCCACCCCCTAGTCAAGCCTCCTGTTGCCCTTTGGCTTGCTTTCTTGTCACCAAGGGGATTGCTGTGCCTTGTTTTACACTTTTGGCAGAATTTGTTCTGGATGGGAAGCAGCAGAGCCAGCAGTCTACTGATGTCTGGCATTCACCCATCTTCTTCTTCCTCTCAGGAACAGAAAATGCAGGAGAAGTTGGAATTTGAGCGGCACCTGAACATGGAGCAAAGAGAACAAGCTCTGCTTGTTCAACACTCAGAAAGAGGAAATGCTTCAGACAGTAAGAGAGGTAGGTCTCCTCTGGGCAGGCCCTGTACAGGACATTGCCTTTCCCAAACTGACCACTTTGGTTCTCTCTTGCCTGGGCCCAGGACCAGATGAGGCTGGAGGAGGGTCTGACCAAGCACCAGCACTGCCTGGAGGAGGAGCACCTGAAGCTGCTGCAGCAGCTGAAGGAGGCAGAGCAGGGTGTTGCCACTCGCATCCAGAAGCTGCTGGAGGACAACCAGAGGTGGGGTCCCAGGATATCCTGCAGTGATCTCTGTCCCTCAGGGGCTGATGTTGCTTTGTTCCCTTCTGAGCCGTTTGTTTTGCCCTTTCTGAACGTTACAGAACTGGTCAGGGTCAGTGTCTGTAGGAGGTTCCTTACTTGTTGAACCATCCAAGTTCCAGTTAAAGGAAGTGGGATTAGACACCTTAAAAAATTGTGTTTCACACATATGTGTGCTGTTGCTGTTGGAGTTTTGCAGTGCTATGGAAAAAATGCAGATTCCTTGTGGAAGGTGCATATTTGAAGTATTTGAAGGTACCACTGCCTAGATCTGCCGGGTCTCCTGCTGGGCTGGTGCTGACACAAGTTCCCAGCCTGCTTGAAGTTGCTTTTCCATGCATTTCCCGCCCTCTGGGGGAGTGGGACATCCTGCTCAGCTTGATGGAAACCTCTTCTTTTATCTTTTATTTTAGGCAGAAACAAAGTTCAGACATTCTGAAATCCTTGGAGAATGACAGGTGAGTCTCCTTCAAATAAGCTCTTCTAGAAAAAGGGCAAGAAGCTGGGAAGAGAGCTGAGACCTTCCTCTCAGATCCACCAGCCCAGTGAGTCCACCTTAGGTCAGGGGAGGTTTGTCTCATACTTGCAGCTGATTCTGGTCACTATTGGAGGCAAGACACTGGACTAGAGGTGCCTGAGTGTGCCCAGTCTGGAAAACCCTATGAGATAATGATTTAACCTCTTTTTTATCTCAAAGTGGAACTTGCTGAGGAGTTTGGGAACAAATCCCTGTATTCCAGTATCCAGGACTGACAGAAATCTGGTATCTGTTGGAAAGCAAGGCATTTGTGAAGGTGGTTCAGTAGTGTGTCCAGGCTGGCAGGAACACTGCCACTCAGCCAGCATCTGAAGTGGCTTTGCTACCCAAAGGGGTTGTCCCCAGCTCTCCCCTGCCTTGATGTTGCCCACTCCCTGCAGGCAACTGTGTTGGGGCACAGCAAACTGGATGGGGACACTGACCTGGCTGCAAATAATCCCTGAAAACGATCCCTGTCAGGTAGTTTTTCACCAATTCCTGATCTCTTCAGGGGTGATGTGTTTTTTTGTGCTGGGACAAGGACAGGGGGAGTGGAGGCCAGGCTGCTGCTGCCAGTGGCACTGCTCACTTGGTCAGCTGTAAAGTGCTCATCAAGCCTGAAGAGAAAGGAAAGCAGCAGAAGGGACTGGCTCTGTGGTTGGTGAGGGTGTGTGCACGTTGCATACATGTCCTGGTTCTCAGAAGGATCAGCTTTTCAGTTCCCACAAAGGTCAGCTTTCCAGCCTCCAAAGCAATTGTCCCCAGGGTTTTCAGAAAGGTTTTTGTTGTCTCCTCTAGATTTAGAGGTTCCTTACCAAGAAATCACTGAGAGTTTTGTGTCTCTGATAAGAACATGGCTTTCCTGAGCCAGTGGATCTGCCCAGGGTTCATGTTCTGAGCTGGGTGGGTGGAGGAGGCCTGAGGAGGAGTGGCTGAGTTGTTCTTGTTTGCTTGGCAGGATCAGGATGGAGCAGCTGATGGCCATAACGCAGGAGGAGATAGAGCATCTGCACAGGAGGGAGGTGGCCTGTAAGTCCAGACAACCTTTTGGGGGTGGGAAAGTGCAAGAAAGACATGATTCCTCTGGAGATGCATCGAATAGGTCACAACCACGTGGGAGATGCTCTGTCACACACCTCCTTGCTGCCTTGCTTGGTGTGGTGGGGCAGGGCTGCACCTGCACCAGAGCTGATCCACTGCTCCCACCCTCAGCTCCCTGCCAGCTCTCCTGGAGCTGTGAGCTGCACTGGTGTGCACGTCACACCAGTCCCGGGGAGACTGGGCAGAAGCACAAAGGGCTTCATGTTTCGGTGGTGCCAAACAGAGGGGAACTGATCAGGGTCACGAGGCAGGAGGTGTGTGGTAAACAGGAACAGTGCCAGGAGCCCTTCCTGCTCCTGGTGACCATGACAGGTCTGCTAGGCTGGCAAGGGAAATGGGGTGTGTGGTGCCAGCCCAGGGATGGGCTGCTGGCAGTGGGATGGGCAGAGCTGCAGCTCTGAGGGTCAGTGGGCAGGGACTGGGCTTCTCCAAGGGCAGAGCAAGGGCAGAGTGGAGTTTGCTCAGCTCGTGTCCTGATCAACAGCCACGATTTTTGCAGCTGAATGAGCCTGCTCTGAAATAATGAAACGGAAAAAAGCAAGGGGGGGTTGGAAAGGAGGAAGAGGGCACTATTAATTACAAATGGTTGTAGCAGCAGGAGTAGAGGGGTACCTGTTGTAGACACCTGCCCCTCTGTCTCCCAGCTGCCATGCAGCAGATGCTGGCTGAGAGCTACAAGAACAAGCTGATCCAAATGACCTACAAGTCCTGTCGGCAAGACCTTGTCAACCAGGCCTGCTTCAGGTACAGGGGGAGCTCTGGGGCTGGCACTGCTCTCGTAAAGCCCATTCTTTCCAGCAGTCCCTGGTGTAATTCCCATATACCCAGCCAGGAATTCCTGCAGCTGCTGGAATGCAGCAGGACAGCTGGGTGAGAGCAGGTGACAAGGCAGTTTAATGAAACTGTCAAACTTGATTAACTGATCCAGCCTCTCAGCACAAGGACAGGCACATTAATCCCACTTTGGGTGAACTATCACTTTTTTACACTGTTGATTTTACTTTATACATTCTGCTAAATATGGAGGATGAAATGAGGCTGCTTTGAATCCCGTTTTGTTGGCCAGCTCAGTGGTGAACTCAAGCACAGGGCTCCTTCCCTCCCCTCCCAGGCTGTCTGGGGATGCTGTTGGTGTGTGGGCAGGGCTGGCTGTGTTGCTGTGGCTACAGAGACTGTTTTGGCTCTTGGTGTTGACAAGATGGTGAGAAATTTTAATTTGGCACTGAACAGAAACAACCTTTTGTGCCTGTGTGCTGCCCAAGAGAGGACAGTGGGCAGACACAGCCCTGCCTGCAGGTGCAGGCAATATGTGGCCACATTGTCCTGGTCTCCTTCATCAGCACAGCCCTTTCCAGTGCAGAATTCCAACGGGCAAATCCTGGGTTCTTACCAGGGCAGCAGCAGCCCTGGACTCTGAGCTGTGCATCTGCATGCTCTGTGCTTCTGCCCTGGCCTGGGCTGTGCTGCAGGTTTGGTTGTAGGGAAGGAAGTTTTCAGTCATTCAGCCTTCAGGACCTCTTGTCCAGTAACAAATTTCTCCATTCCTGGATTCCCTGTTACCTGCTTTTCCTCTTGTTTGCGTCGAGATTCCCAGACCCAGCAGTAACTCCACGGCAAATCCATCTTCTTGCAGCCTAGCAGAGATGGATGAGAAATTCCAGCAAATCCTGGCTTGGCAACAGCTGGACCAGAACAAAGCTGTTAGTCAGATCCTGCAGCAGGTAGGCAAGGGAGCAGACTGCCTGGGGGGGATCCAGGGAAAGCAGGATTGAGCTGGAGCTCTGGAGCACTGGGGGCTGGGCTGGGCTGCTTGCAGAACTCATTTTATTTAACTCTACGTGCTAAACTTTGAGAACCTCTGGGATTCTAACAAACTGACTTGGGTGGTTGAAAGAAAAATGTGTTTCTTTTTGAACTAGGCAGCAAATCTTCAGACAGGACAGCAGCACAGCCCTTGGGGAGAAAAACTGCTCTGGTGAATTGAGAGGATTTAGTGAGAGGAGTCTGGTCTTTCTGGCAGGTTTCTTGGGTGACTTGGGGCCAGCTGCCTACAGGAGGCATTTTCAAAGCCTCTGCTCCCCTTGAACACCTCCTTTGAACCTGAGGTCTCTGCAGCTCCTTTTTCAGAAAAGCTGGGCAGCCCTGCCCTATTGCACTCAGTCCTGCTGCAAGTGAGAGGTGGGAATCACACAGAGCCTTCAAAATGTGTGTCTGAAGACCAGGAGTGTAGCTTCTGAGTCTGTCTGTCAAATGGGTTGTACCTTTGGGGCTGTGGGATCTAAGCCATGGTGTGATCAGGAGACTGTTGCCCAGAGCAGGCTCTGTTCAGGTGCTTGTACACTGGTCACTGCAGGGGAACAGGGTTTCTCAGCCTGTTTGCAGCAGCAGCCTCAGCAAGGTTTTGCCTGTCCGTCCCTTAGATTGAGATGCAGAAAGCTGCCTTTGAAGCTCTCCCAAGTGAAGAAGGACCTTATGCACAGGCAGATCAGGAACCAGGTGAGTCAGCAACAGAGGAAAGAGCAACCAGCTACTCAGCTGACAGAGCCTGCCAGGAGACAGTGCTGAGGAGGCTCAAAGCTGTGTGAGCACAGAGCAGGGGCTGGAGGAACTGAAGGTTCTTGTGCTCTGAGGGCTCTGCAACCAGGTGTGGGGCAGTGCTGGTTACAGCCCCAGAGATTGAAGTGTCACAAGTGCAGGTTTTAGGTTCCTGCAAGCTGTGGCATTGCCAGGGCTGCAGTCCCCTCAGCACTGCTGTGGATGAAGTGCTGAGAGTGGTCACTAGAGGCCAGACCTGCCTTGGCTCTGTGGGCTGGTCTGCAACTGCAGCTCTGGTTTCCTTCAAGCTGTCTACTTAGCAGGGCTGCTGTTTCCACGTGAGTCCATCTCCATCCAGCACATCAGAACTGCACCTCCAGCCATCAGTTCACCTTTTCCTTCCCATTCTCAGCCTGCCTTTCTGATCTGCATCCTGCAGACAGTGCCTTGGTCAGGGGAAGAGCAAGAGCTGGTGGAGAAAGTAACAGTGGTTGGTGCACAAAGATGGGTGGCTGGTTTCTGACAGGGTTCCAGAACCTTCCCTCTCCTGATCTGACACTAGCAGGAAAGTCTCAGGTCAGGAGTCGGTGGATAAGCTTAAGAATCATAGAATCAAACATTCATAGAATCCTTTTGCTTGGAAAAGACCTTTAAGATCATCAAATCTGACCATCAAGTCTACTGAGTCCAGTGCTAAACGATGTCCCTCAGCAGCACATCTACACAGCTTTTAAACACCTCCAGGGATGGTGGTTCAACCACTTCCCAGGGCAGCCTGTGCCAGTGTTTGATGAACCTGTCAGTGAAGGTCTTCACTGAAAAAGTTTGGATATGTTGAGTCACTCAGTGACCAGTCTTTGCTAGAACCCTATGGATTGTGCATGGTTTCAGGCTGACTAAACAGGTGACCTACCCTGGCAAAAAGCACACACAGGAAAACAACTGTAGAAGCTGGTGCAGCCCAGGTTTGCTGTGCCAGCTTCTGGAAGAAGGTTCAGGCTGTCTGTTCAGCCAGGCTGAGGGCCCGTGGAGCACAGGGTGTCCACATCTGCTGAGGCTGGTTTAGGTGTGGTAAGTGCCCTGCTGGCAGCCAGGGCAGGTTGGGTGCAGGTAAAGGGTGCAGAGGTGTGGGTGCCAGAGCCCTTCTGTTGCAGGGGGTGATCACAGAGCAACGCCAGGCACTCAGCTACCTGCTGCAGCAGCTGCTCAAGGAAAAGAACCAAAGGGAAGAGGAACTGTGACAAATGCTGGTAATGAAGGCCCCTAATTAGGTGCTGTAGATAAGGATGCACATGGGCTGGCCAGGGAGAGAGCCCTGGGGTCAGCACGGGGATAAAGGGGAGGGGAGGAGGGCTCAGGGGGGTGGTGTCCAGATCCAAAGACTCATTTAGCTTTAGGAAGTGCAAATGGGAAGTCGGGGCAGCGTTACCTCCCGGTACAGCATGAGGCACCATCATCATCAACCTCCCCTGCCAGGACAGGGAGCCATCGGGGGGGTGAGCACAGGCTCACCAGGTCTTTGCTTGTAGCCTTGTGATCCTGAAGACCTCCAGGCTCTTCTGAGCTTCAGGAGACCAAATCCAGTCTCTGGGGCAAAGTGACTGGAGGGATGCTCAACCCTAGACTGGACATGGGGGTCAAAGTGGGGCCATCGTGAAGACCAGGAACATCCATAGCTGTGTCTGTGTCAGTGCTCTGAACTGACTGCACAGCCCAGGCTGGTGGCCTCCCCATATTAATCCAACTCGGGCTGCCCTAAGTACTGATGGCAGCCTTATCTCAGGCTGATGAATGATTGAGTTTGTTTTTCAGGTAGAACTGGAGATGAAGAGTGAAACCAAACAGGAGAATTACTGGCTGATCCAGTACCAGCGCCTGCAGAGCCAGAAGCCCCTCTCCCAGAAACTCCAGGTTGTTGCTGCAGTTCCTTCTTTGCAGCTTTGCTCTGCTCTGCTCTGCAGGATGTGGGGGGAGCAGGGGCAGCCCTGCCTGGACCCAGGGATTCAGCTAAGGCAGGGATGGGGTCACAGACCCCTGGCACAGGCTGACAGCCCCGGGCTGTCCTGCATTTATCCATCGTGCCCTGAGCGGGGCTGCCCGGGAGCCTCCCTCGTTCCTCTGCCTTGGAGGCTGTGAAGAGCTGCCACTCTGCTGTCTGCCAGCAGGAGCTCCCATCCCACCCTCAAACTGCTTGCCAGGAGCAGAGGACTCTGAGCACCCTCCAGGAAGGGCTTTTTGTTCCAGCTAAGCCCCCAGACGGCTCTGCTGGGCTCCCCAAATTCCCGTGCAAATCCATCTGAATGCAGCAGCCTCTGTCCCTTCCTTCCCCAACGTGTTGAACTGAGGACTTGGTGCTGGTGAAACATCTGTGGAGGTTGCCAGGGAGGGATGGAGCTGAGCTCTGCCCCTGCTGCCTGTGTGCTGGACTTGGCACAGCAGGTGGTGTTGCAGACACTGGCTGCCCAAATGGTTTTGTTTCATTTGTCTCCAAAACACTGTGCTTGGAATCGTGCTCACACCTGGGGCCAGAGCTCCTCCAGCTGCTGGGCTTCCCAGCCCTGGTGTCTTTGAGATGCAGAATGCCTGGAGCAGGGCAGGAATGGGCAGGCTGCCCACCCCTGCTGCCAGCCTTGCCTCCTGTTCTCCAGAGCCAAGCCTGGGAGCCCACCCGGTGTTTTGCAGGAGGGGAGTCTGGAGAGGCAGCTGGTGGCCCTGCTGATGGACCTGTCTGCAGGGCAGTACGTGCCTGTCTTTGCCCACCACCGGGTCTCCCTGCGGGCGCTCAGCACCGTGACTGCCAGTGACCTGGAAAAGGTACCAGACAGCAGATCCACAGGGCAACCCTCCCTGCAGCTGCTCGTGGCTCTGCATGTGGCGGGTCTGGCAGCCGGGAGGGTGGGTGGGTCTGCTGGGTTCCCTCCCCACAGGGAACAGTGCCTGCGCTGCCCTCTGCCCTGTGCCAGGGAGCAGTGCAGCTCTGCCCTTCACCCTCCAGATGCTCTTTGTAGGAGCATCACCGGGACAAATCCCTTATCTGGCTTTGACACCCAATGGAGGTGCTTCCCTTGGCAAGACCAGGGCTTGCCAGCGAGGCCCAAGAGTCTCCTGTCCCCCCGGGAGCTGACAGCCCTCCTCTTCACTGCAGATGGGCGTGCTGGGGGCTGGGCTGCAGAGAGCCATCCCCAGGTGAGCTCAGGAGATCCTGGCTGTGGCCAAGACCATCCCAGGTATCACCAGTTCTTTTCTGTCTGGCCTCACATGCTGAACACTCGCAGCAGGTGCCTGAGCCTGAAACGGGGAGACCTGCAGGGCCAGATGCCTCCTGTAGAGGAGCAGAGTCATGGGAGCTGGTGTGTGAGGAGGAAAGGCAGGGAGCACTGGCAGAGCCCAGGCTGCTCTCTTCATGGGAGCCCTGAGCTCCCATCTGCTGGCAGCCATGCTGATGTGTGCTGGGTGGGTGGAAGATGGGCAGCTCTCCTGGTGCTCAGACCTCCTGCTTGTGGTTTGCAGAGCTGCTGAGGACAGTGGACACCGAGGTCCCTGCAGCCCCAGAGCCCAGTGCTCCCTTTGAGGAGCTTCCCAGCCCGGTGGTCCCAACAGCTCCATCGCTGCAGTGGGATGAGAAGTCTGAGTGTGTTGTCAGCATGGAGCAAGAGGTGAGGCCCCGGCACACGCCTGGTGCTGGAACAGGGGCTGGAGTGAGGGCAGCATCCAGCACATCCCCCTGTGTCTGTGTCCCCAGCCTGGCCCTGGGCTGCCACCCTGCAGCAGGGTGCTCGTCCCTGCAGCTCCGCAGCACAGCAGGGAGGAAGGAGGGCAGCACAGGGCTCCCTGCAGGCTGGGAAGGAGCTGGCTGGGCTGCTGGGCTGGGCTGCTGGGCTGGGCTGCTGGGCGGGTCTGTCTGCAGAGCAGCCACAGGGAGCGTTGCTGGGAGCTGCTCGGTCCAGCCCTGACCTGTGTCCTTCCCTCGGGCCTCTTGCACTCCTGCCCTCAGCACAGCCCAGACCCTCCTGGCCACACAGCGCTGGGGATGGAGCTCGGGGTGCAGGGCTGTGCTCCCCACACTGGGACACCCCCAGGTCATCCTCATCTCCAGCCCCATTTCCTCCCAAGCTGCCGTGCAGTGGCGCTGGGATGGGCGTTAGGGGACAAGCAGCACTTTCCATGTCCTCTCTCCTCCCCAGACCCAGATGATTTTCCTGCCCTGTGACCACGTCTGTTGCCGCCAGACCTGCCAGCCCTGCTGCCAGCGGCTCCAGACGTGTCCCCTGTGCCGCAGGGACATCCCGCAGCGCATCCGCATCTTCCAGCGCGGTTAGACGGGGCGGGGAGGAGCGGCCTGCCCGGCACCGCCTCCCTCACTCCCGGGGCCTCTGCTGCCTCGTCTCGGCATTAAAGACACCCGCACAGCATGGCCAGCGCACCCAGGAGCCTCCGCATCCACCACGGATCCCCAGTGGCTTCTCAGCCTCTGCCTTGGATTCCCTCTTCACCCGTGTCCTCTCTTCCTGCCTGCTCAGCCAGTGTCCTCTTGTCCGGGATCACTGGGTGATGGAACCGGGTGCACCTCTGCCCCCTCCTCTCTGGCTAATGCGTTTGCCTTCAGAAGTGCCCCTCGCTCAGCAGGGACACAGTTAGTGCCACCTTTGAAGCCACCATGACCTTGCAGCTCCACCGGGGTGGCCTGGTGCTGTTGCCCAGAGGGGGGTGACTCTCCCATGGGAGGCCTCAGCCAGGACCAGCAATGCTCTGGGGTGCTGGGGGCACTGCTGGGCTGTAGCCATGGGCAGGAGATGCCAGGACAGCACCAGGAGCTGCCTGGCCCCTAACCAGCCCTTGTGGCTGCCCCATCCCGGGCAGTGTTGAAGGGCAGGTTGGATAGGGCTTGGAGCAGCCTGGGCTGG